TGTGTCTGACAACACCTTCAAAAACAAGGAGATGCATCCCAAGATGTTTATACGCTAATTCAGCTTTTAAATAAAAATAAAATAAAAGAAGCATATCTCTGGCATAAGATCAAAAGACAACTCGTATTTAGCTCTTATAGTCTTTATCAGTTCTTAAGAGGCATATCTGAAAACCCATGCACAAATGTGAGAAACATTCACTTCCAAGAAAATACCGTATCCCTGATGTGATCCACTGTAGCCTGCTGGAGTAGAGCAGTATTCTGTGCTCGACTGTCCAGGTCTGGACAGAGGAAGGGGGGCAGGCAGACCCAGTTGCTCTCTTCCTTTAAAGAACCAAGCTCCTGAACGCTTCTGTACCTGCAGTAACACAAAAATTTGCATCACTGGAATATTTTGCAAGAATGGAAACGGCTCACACGATTCAAACATGTGTAACATGTGTTACAGGGACAGTGCTTTGGCAGATATTATATAGACATACTGTGTTTTTTAGCATAGCTGAAGTCAGTTTCTAGTGGCCAAAATTTTAACTCCAATTTATTTATTTAATTTGAATTCTTTTATTTGATGCAAAAACATGACCTCTTTGTATCTGCAGTATTACTGAGTACTTATTCTATATGAATGATAGGAATGAGCATTTGTTTAAAGAGTTTGGGCTCCCCAGGGCAGCGACCTCAGCAAACACAACATCGTCATAAAAACAGTATTGTGTAACAGTAGTATCGTGACAAAAGACTAATGGCAGACTAATGTGGCATAACATGGTTGGTGAATCTGTTCTTCATCATTCCTTTTCCTTCACCTCTATCTGTTCATTGCAGATCTGGCACAGCCACACAGGGCATGTCCTGCTGTTGCTTGAAATTCCACACTTGGTACACATATGCTGCAGGAAAGGAAAAATAGACATTAAGACATACTCGTGCACAGAGTTGCAGTGTCACACAGATTTAGTCCTCAACAGCAGGTGCGCATGAAACATATATTTGTACAATTCAGGTAACATTAGTTAGATAATGAATGCAGCAAGAAAAAGAATGTGATGTATAAGACCCTGAAATGCACCATGTATGTCCAGATTTGTTTGCACATGGCCCGGCAGTTTTAAGAGCTGTAGAACAATATAGAAAACACCGCAAACAGCCAATGTGTCAGCTGTAAGAGAACATAGGAAAAATGTACAGAAAGTATTAAACTAATATCCCCTGTGATTTCTGATTCTATTTGACATTATTGGATCATGTGAACTGATGCATCAGTTTGTAAGCTTTCCAACCGAGTTGTGTCACAGTGCCGGGATTTTTGATTTTTACTTAATGTTTATTTGATTAATTGTGCTTTTACATTTCTGCTCTAGGTACAGCTGTTTTACAGGATGGGCCATTTATATGGATACACCGTAATAACATGGGAATGGTTGGTGATATT